GAGCATTGTATTGGTTACCGGTTGCCAGGTGACAAACCACCCCCAACTTCAGTGGATAAAACCGACCCCCACTTTAGAGTGCATGATTGTGCGGTTGGTGGGCTCCTCTGAGCCATTCTCTCCCGTGGCACTGGGTGGGCTGCCCCACGGGGCTGCAGACAGCTGGGGGTCCGCGGCAGCTGAAGGTCCAGCATGACTGCACTCATGTCGGGCGTTTGGTGCTGGCAATTGGGGCGCCTCGGTTCTCCTCCACGGCCGCTCGTTCTCCGGGACTGCTCTCATCCTGTGGCCTCTCAGACGACCAGAACTGCCTGCTGTCGTCTTCCAAGAGGGTGAGCCAGAAGCTGCAGGGTCTCTAGTCTCGGAAGTCAGACGTGGAGCAGCGTGTTGCTTCCACATTTTATTGGTCAAAGCAAGTCCCAGGCTAGTTCAGGGGTGGAAAGCAATGACGGTGCCTCCCCATGGGCAGAGGAGCAAGGCCATGTTGCGAAAAGACATGGAGAGAGTTGGAAGGCTGTCTTAGGAAACACAAGTAACTACTATGTGCCAGGCATTATTTTAGGCCCTAGGGGCACAAAGGTAAATGAAACGAAAACCCCTGTTCTCCAGAAGCTTTCATTCTGTTGAGGGAAGATGACAACAAATAAGTAAAATGTGTAGTAAGTTAAATGGTGATGCAGGTTAAAGAGAGAGATAAATTGGTGCAGGATGGGGCATGGCAGGAAAGCTACAAGACCAGGGAAGGCCTCACGAAGGAGAATCATATGGGCAAAGGCTGGAAGGGAGTGTGATATAAGCTTTACCAGTGATGGGAACAGCAAGTGCAAAGGCCCTGGGGTGAGGACATGGTTGGTGTAGTTGGTGGGGAGTGAGCAGTCAGTGATGAGGTCAGAGAGACGTGGAGGGCTGGGATGGTGTGGGGCTGGGGAGGCCCCCAGTAGGTGTTTGCTGACTGAGGCGGAAGATACAGTAAAAGTTAAGATATAATCCATGCAATATAAAATTTACCATTTTAGAGTATACAATTCAGTGGTTTTTAGTATATTCCCTATGTTGTGCAGATATTACCACAACCTAATTCCAGAACATTTCCATCACTCAAAAAAGAAGTCTCATAACCATTAGCAATTATTCCCTGCTCCCCCCGACCCTGCACCAATTCCATGGGGGAGACAACCACTTTCTGTCTCTGTGGATTTGCCTCCTCTGGACATTTCAAATAAAAGGAATCATGTAAGGATTATTTTCAAGGATTATCAACATTGTAGCATGTATTAGAGCTTAATTCTTTTTATGGCTGAATAGTATTCCATCCTGTGCACATGTCACTTTTTGTTTGTCCATCCATCAGTTTATGAACATCAAGTTATTTCTACTTGTGGGCTATTAGGAATAATGTAAAAGCTTTTCTGTAAGAACCTCTGTTTTCAGTTCTTTTGGGTACATTGCTGAGTCATAGGGTAACTGTTTAACCTTTAGAGGTTGGTCTCCAAACCAGGCTTGTTTCCAAAACAGCTGCACAATTTTACAGTCCCACCAGCAGTGGATGAGGGTTGCTTCATATCCTCACCAACATTTGTCACTTGCGATTTTTGTGACTGTGGCCATCCTAGTGGCTGAGAATGGTAGAGTGGAAGATTGTGAGCTGAAGAGGGCTTTGGTTTTCACAGAATCTCTGAGGACCAGATTGAAGGGGAGCAAAAGAGGAAGGAGGGGACTAGTGAGTAGCAGCCTACTGCAACGGTCCCGTCAAGGGAGAGCGGTGCCTTGCACCAGAGTGGTGGTGAGGAGTGGCTGGATGTAGGATGTATTGTGAAGGCAGAACTGAGAGGATTTGCATAGAGGATGGATGGGGTGAGGGGTGGGAAAGAATGATGAGCCAAGGATCCTCCCAGCTGTTTGGCCTGAGCACCTGGATGATGGGGTTTCCATTTGTTGAGCTGGAGAAGACCACGGATGGTGGAGGATCTTTTTGTGTTTTCTTGTGCCAGTCACTGGTGGACAGGGCCAGCCCTTTTTCGGTTTTTGGCACATCCGGCTGGGAAGCTTGGCTTGGAACTTTGGGAGAAATCAGGGGGTGTGGAAGAAGACAGTAAATCATAGTTCATGCGTATTAAAAAATGCCCACCTGCCATCTCCAACGGTCAAGCCCTGAATGTCACTTAAAGAGGAATCACTTGCTTCCCTCCCCTCAGAGTGGGACAGTTTCTGCACGGGGAGGTGCAGAGGATGATGAGGGCATTCATATTGCTTATGGGCTGGGTTAAAAAGGCATGTGGGTTGCACCTGCAGGAATCATATTTCTGGGGCCACTTTCTGGGAGAAAATTGTCCGCTGAATGATTTGTGGGGCACGGTGGGGTGGCTGATCCTTCCCTGTTGGCTGGGAATGTCTTGGGACCTGCTCCTCCCTTAGCTGACCAGGCAGTCAGCAGATCATTGCTTCACTCGCCTCCTGCTGCTTGGTGACCCCCTGGGTACCAGGAGGAGGTGGGGGGGCGAGGGTGACTGTAGTTGACAGGCAGCTGTAAGGTGGGCACGCTTTCCCCCTCCCCAGAGAGCACCTTGGTCCTTGCCAACTTCTGAAGTTGTTAGGTCAGATGTTGGCTTCTGTATTTTTTAGCTGTGTGACCTTGAGCAGGTGACTTAAGCTCTCTGATCCTCTGCTTCTCAATCCATAGAAAGAGGGAAATTACGGCACCTGCAGGACAGTTTTTGTGAGAATCAAAGGAGATAATTCATATGTAGTGATTTGCCATTTCTTCTATTATCTAGTGAGAGAGATCCATAAAGCTACCGTTTATTCACGCTTCCTGCGTGCCCACACCCTGTTAAAAGACTTAGCCATAGCATGAAGTGGACCTAGCAACCCTGCCAAGTGGGCGTGGCCCTTCTTGTCCCCGGTGAGCCAGCCCAGATGCCCAGCGGAAGCCACTGGGTTAAGGTCCCACGGCTGGCAGAGGGAAGATGGGGTTAGAACTCAGGACTGACTTCCTTCCTGAACGTGCTTGGAGAGGTCCAGAGCTCTTCCTGCGAGCAAAGAACTGCACGTGTGTCTTGGGAAGAGGTCACCCAGCCAGGGGTCCTTCATGTCCCTCCGGGGTTCCGTCTTCCCAGGCATGTTTGGACCTGGGGTGTAGATCATCTTGGGGTTTCCCTGGTGGTCAGAAACTAAAGGATCTGCCTGCAATGCTAGAGACCTGGGTTTGATCCCTGGGTCGGGAAGATCCCCTGGAGACAGGAATGGCAACCCACTCCAGTATTCTTGCCTGGGGAATCCCATGGACAGAGGAGCCTGGTGGGCTACAGACACGACTCACCTAGACTGTGCTCCACCGCGGATCTGTGCCCCCTCCCGTCTCTCGTGCTTTCCTCTGGGTCCAAAGGAACCATCAACTTCCCCCGTCCCAGCTCAGTGGCCTCTCAGCTCCTTCTTTCTCCCTTAGTGCATTAAGGACATTTTTTTTAAACCATGCTTTTCTTTTTAGGGGGTGGGAGGGGGAGCTTCCTGTGTGTTTCCAATCCCCCTTCCACTGTGGTCCCCTTCCCCTGTCAAGCCTCCTCCAGTCAGGCACAGAAATAGTCCCAGCTGTGAGACGAAGGCTCCAGAGTTTAAAATTGCAGCTCTGTACTATTTATACTCCAGCCGGAAAGAGGTTTTTTTGCACTGCCGTTTATTTGGTTGTGGTAGTGACGCCCTAGGCTGCAGGCGCAGCTCCTGCACTGTATAAACATTTCTCTGGGGACAAGTGGGCGCTGAGGGCAGCCTTCAGGTGAGGGGGCAATGCCAGGCCTGCCCAGGAACGCCTGAGAACATCTCCCTGCAGCAGAACAGTTCGGCCTCGTAAGCCAGAGAAAGTGCTTCATGTTCCAGCCGAACTTCCTTCCGAGATGCCTGGTTATTAGGGGGAAGAAAGACAAAAAAGCAGGTATTTTATTCGTCATGAAAATAATACACGCTTGAGGGGGAGAAGGGTTCAAACTCCTCCTTTACGCAAGTGATTAAAGCAGACTCTTCATGTTCTGTTTTGCTTGGCCCACGAAGCATTAAAATGGAAAAATAATTTTAAAAAAATATGTGCCACTATTTATCAAGGGATAAATTTATAAGGGATCTAACTTGCATCTCTGGTGTCTCCTGCACTGGCTAACCCCCTAACTGTTTGCAGTTTGGTACATGGCATTCAGGTGGCTCTAGTGGTAAAGAACCCGCCTGCAATGCAGGTGACATAATGAGACTCGGTTGGATCCCTGGGTCAGGAAGATCCCCTGGAGAAGGAAATGGCAACCCACTCCAGTATTCTTGCCTGGAGTATCCCACGGACAGAGGAGCCTGGCAAGCTACAGTCCATGGGGTCGCAAAGAGTCAGACATGACTAAATTGACTTAGCATGCACATGTCACTCCAGTTGAAATGAGATGAGGTGAAATCCCACTGTTGAAACATGCACATTTCTCGGTATTCATACAAGGACAGTTTTATATTCTGCCTCTCGCAGTTCACTGCTTCTCTCCAGGGTGTTTCTCAGGAGGCATTTTTCGGTGTTGATAAGAGCAGGCTTTGAGGCTGGGGACTCAAACCTACCTGAGAATGTGGGCCCCGACCCTTGTTAGCTGTGTGACCTTGAGCAGGTTCCCTTACTTCTTGGAGCCTCAGTTGCCTTATCTGGACCACGGATGGTGATAAGGGGCACTTTGTTATCTCCAGTGAGTATTTATTTATCTCCTTTCTTTTGAGAACTGCATAGAGTGGATGGTCCACAGTGGCTTTAACCAGAGTGGTTAGACAGAGGAGTCCACAGGCATCAAGACTGCCACTGGCACTTCCAGGTTTCAAATGAGGCTTGAGAGGTTTTGAAAAGGCAAAGTAGGTCTGGAGGGAACTGGGCAGATAATCCTAAGATTTAGTTTGCTTTAAAAAAAAAAGAAAGAAAAGAAAATGAAGGGCGTTTGTCTCCCTGGAAACCACTTGCTAATCTCCAGGATATTGTCTCTTTTCAGGCGAAGGAGGTGGAGGAGACCATCGAGGGGTTGCTCCTCCGGCTGGAAGAGTTTTGCAGCCTGGCTGACATGGTGAGTGGCTGGCTGACATGGTGAGGGCCTGCCTGGGAGGCGTGGGTCGAGGCCCAGGCCAGGCTTCAGGGCCTTCCTGGGCCTCCCTGGGGAGCCATCTTGGTGGTGGCTTAGCGAGCAGGAGGCGTGGGCAGCGGCCGGCCTGGGGAAGCCACCCTTTCTCTCTCTCTCTCTCCCTCTCTCTCTCCACACAAGGCTCCCTGAGGCGGCCATCTTGTTAACGCCCTTCCCCCCCGAGACGCTTTCGCTCCATGGAGGAGGCGGGAGCAGGCCACCAGGTGGCGCTCTCGGCCCCGATGCGGGGCGCCGACCGGCGGGGATGCTAAGACTATATTTAACTTTCCTCGCTCGGCGCCGTTCACCAGGCAAACGTGGAGACAGCCAGGAAATGGCTTAAGGCCTGGGAGGCCCAGGGGGAGCCACCGGCCGGGCCCTGGCCCCGGCGGGGTCGGGCATGGAGTGCCTTCCTGAACCCTTTGCTGGCTCCACTGTTGCCTCCTCCCCTGTTGTGTGGGGAGGGCTCCTCCTGGCTGGAGGGAAGATGGTGCCCTCGGCCAGGAAGACGAGGTCTCCAGGATTGCTGCCAGATAGATGTGGGGCCCTGAGGAGCACTGACAGAATCTTCTGGAAGTTCCCAAGCTTATTAAAGGCACACCAGCAGCCAGGGTTCGTGGTTTCTGCCTGGAGGCCCAAAGGGTTGAGCTCCATGTTGGGAACAGGCCTGCCTCTCGCCGGAGCCCCGAGCCCCGGAGCCCCGGCTGGGTGCGGCCGTGTGGAACGGCCCCAGGTGTCTGGAGATGCGGTGCTGAGAGCCCAGGGAGCCACGTGTGTTGAGCGTCTACTCTGTGCCAGGCTCCGTCCGGAGCCTGCTTCCCTGTCCTCCCGTCTCGCCTCAGAGCCGCCCGCCATGATGGGTGCAGCTCTATCCCCGGACGTTCGGCGGATATCTGAGTGCCTCGCTGCGCCAGCCCCTGGGGACACTGCAGTGAACCAGGCAACAGACGTTCCCACAAGGACCTGTGTGTGTTTTTCTCTGGAGAGCCGAGTTTTTAGTTCAGATGTGGGTCCAGGTGGGAACCAGATAACGAGACTGACTTTGAACAGCGTGAATAGTCCTTTCTTCATCCGAACATTGTGCACCTTCTCCGACTGGTCCCTTGAAGAGCCTGAGAACGCAAAGAGAGACCAATCCGTCTCCCTTCCCCGCCCCCTGCCCCTCTGATCCCCTAGGTTACCGGGGAAACCGATATGTGCATCAGCGCTGGCCTGGAGGTGTGTACCAGGTGCAAAGTGGAGGCTTTGTGAAGGGAAAGAGCTTCTAGAAGGAACCAGGCACATAATCCCAAGATTCGGTTTGCTTTAAAATATATAGATATATGAGGAGCAGAGGTGTTAAATTCTGCCTGGAAAATTGGGGAGGCTTTGCAGAACAGGTGGTGATTAATTTGGGGTTTGAAAGAGGAACGAGAAGAATTCAGTTGCTGGGAGTGGGGGGTGGGGGTGGCAGGCACCCAGGCAGAGGGACTGGTCTGTGGGGGCGGTGTGCTGGGCCCGGCGGGACTGATGTGGGCCCCCACAGCAAGGGTATTGTGACGGTGGTAGGGACAGGCAATCCTGGGACATCTCTGATCTCAAATCCCAGCCCATCTTCCTCCTGTGATGAGAGACCCACTCTCCACCCTTTATGAGAGCTCTGGACGGAAGCCCGCTTGGATAGACAGAAAGGGGTCCAGATAAGGCTAGTTTTACTAGCCTTAAAAACGTCAAGGCTTCCCAAAGCCTGCGTTTATCTTGCCAGGAGGCCCAAGGTTGCATGCAGCATGGAGAAGGTCCTTTCTGAACTCAAAGTCTAGAGATGCATTGATGCAAAGGTTTTAAATCCAGAGGTCACAGGATGACCTGTGGGCCCAATCCTGCCTGCAGACATGTTGGATGCTCCTGGGAAAAAAGAAAGGAGGGCTAAGCGGCTGACATTTATAGAATGTCATGCAAAAAAAAAAAAAAAAATGTGGGTTTCCGGCTTCTCTTGGAAAAGCAACGACCTGTCTTGCACTCGCATCCCGCTACCCCTTGGGTGCTTTCTCTCACCTGGCCAGCATCAGCCGGAGCCCCCGTGGAGCACACACATGCTCTACAGCTTGTCGTGTCCCCGTGGGAGCCCCCCTGACTCCCCTGCCCCCCGCCAGCGGCATCCATCCTGCGTGTGTGTCTTTTGTGGGAGCGAAAATTTCTCTGTACTTCGGGCCCTACTGAAAGCAGGCACATATCAAACAGAGCAAGAGAGTCCTGTGCTTTAAGAAATGGAAAAGAGTGCACTTCTTTGAAAGTAAAGACTATTTCTGTGTGCTTATATGTAGATGAGCATGTCTATGTCATAATAGAACGCACCTAGTTTGATGCTTTTGTGGCCCTTGGAGCTGTTTTTTATTTTGAAATCCCTATAATGAGGCTCTGCCCTGATGCCATTTAGATTATAGAAATCCTCTCAGTCCCATCAGCTGATGGTTAGCTTATCCGGTGTGTCTGTGCTGGGGTGTCGTGGACTCCACGGTACAGAGAGAGATCTGTCCAGCTAGTGGCCCTGGCTTGGGACCTCCTTTTTTCTTCTGATCCAAGCTAGAGACAAGTGGGGACCTGTGGGAGGCAGGCGTTGTCACAGCACGGAGCGCCGTCCCGTGCTTTGGCCTTTGTGAACACCAATCAGGTTAGAGGTCCCAGAGAGGCTGGGCTCCCCGGTGCCAGTCCAGAGAGAAACACTTCATTTCTGATGAAGTCAGCCTACTGCAAATGAGAGTCCAGCTTCCAGTCTGTTGTATTAAGTCCTCTGCCAGCCTGTCCCAGGTCACTCTTGAGTAAGCAGCGTTCACACTGTGTGCTCAGGACCTGTTCTAACCTTGGATATAATGCCCCTTGCCATCACCCCGAGCTCTGACGCTTCCCAGTGTGAGGCCGTGGTCACGGTCACTCACCTTTCTGTGCCCTGATTTTCTCCTCTGTAAAATGGAGATGGTGGTTGGTTCCGAGTATCTATGGCAGCATCAAACTGCCCCAGAACTTCATGATGTGAAACAACCACGAGTTTACCACGTGGGCCAAGACAGGGCACAGAGGGTGCGGTTGGTCTGAGCCAAGTGGCACCTGCTGGGGTGAGGACGCCCAGGGCGGCTCCTTCGCTCACTTGTCCGGTGTCTCAGCTGGGGCGCTGGGTGGCCGGGGACTCGTTGGCCACATGGGCTTTCTTGTACCATGGCAGTCTGGCCTCCCAGAGCCAGCATTCCAACAAACACAACGTAGACGTCTCTGAAGCCTTGGGTATGGCAATTGACACAGTCACTTCTGTCATATCTTATTAGTCAAAGGAGCCACATAGCCTACCCAGATCCAAAGGGAAGGACATCGACCCCTCTTCTTCATGGAAGGAATGTGTGGCCATCTTTCATCCGCTGCACGTGGTACCCATCTCCAAAGAGTCATCGTGAGGAATAGACAAGGCAGGGGTGTGCCCTTTACATCCACTAGAATGACCAGAATGCAAGACAATAGCACATGTGGGTGAGGGTGTGGGGACGCTGAAACTCCCCTTCACTGGCTGGTGGAAATACGCAAAGGGACAGTCACATGGAACACAGAGCCGTTTCTTGTAAAGTCAGACATATACTTAGGCTGCATCCCAGCAGTTCTAATCCTAGATAATAACCCATGAAAAATGAAAACAAGAGTTCAGAGACTTGCTGATAAATGTACATGGCAGCTTTGTCTATCATCTCCAAACTGGAAGCAACCCTGGTATCTGTCAGCAGTTGTCATTTAGTCGTTCACGTCTTTTGTGACCCCATAGACTGTAGCCCATGGATACTCTGACTGTGGAATTTTCCAGGCAAGAATACAGGAGCAGGTTGCCATTTCCTGCTCCAGGGGATCTTCCTGACCCAGGGATGGAACCCACGTGTCTTGCATTGGCAGGCAGATTCTTTACCACTGAACCGCCACGGAAGCCCCGGTCAGCAGTAGAAACCAGTAAATAGGGAATTCCCTGGCGGTCCAAAGGTTAGGACTCCGTGCTCTCACTGCCAAGGTCTCGGGTTTAATCTCTGGCTGGAGAACTAGGGTCCCACAAGCCTTGTGGCATCGCTGAAAAATAAAATAAAAAGAATCGAGTAAATAAGCTGTTGTTTGTCCATATGCTGGGATGCACAGCCACAGAAGAGAATGACCAGTCATATACAACAACACGGGCGATTCTCACAGACATGCTGTTGAGAGAAAGAAGCCGGACACAGGAGTACTTCCTGTGTGGAGCTCCGTAATCTTAAGTTTAAAAACAGGCAAAACCAGTCCCTGTGATGGAAGTCAGATAGAGCTTAGCTTTGGGTGGGCGGCCATGACTTCAAGGAGGCTGGAGGGAGTCTTATAAAGCAAGGGGTGTTCCATGCGTTGGTCTGGTTCCACAGATGTAAGCACATGTATCAGTTATCAAGCTGTTGGCTAAAGCCTGGGCTCTTTACTGTATATCATTTGCACTCAATTAATAATAATTGCTTAGCACAGTGCCTACTATGTCTTAAGTGACCCGTGAATAGTAGCTACTGAGGTCAGCAGTGTCGTCAGTTTCAAATCACCAGAGGGTCATGCCACCCATGAGTTTATCCACAGAAACTAGATTTGTGAGGCTGCTCAGCTCAGTGCCCTTGGGGGCTTGGGCAGGTTGTCTGGGCCCTCTGAAACCCCAGTGGCCTTGGACCCACCTTCTGGCAGGGAGCAGACTCTTCCCCTGTCTCACATAAGCGGAGAAAACTTCCTGTTGGCCTCGGCCCAGCAGTTGCATTTGGCATTTGGGTGTGTTCTTAGGTCAAGTGCATTTGGCTCTCCTTTCTGGGCCCTGCGTCGTCCAGGACAGCCGCGTTTGCTCTGTGATAACCTCCTGCATCCACTGCCCAGACTTCTGGGCTCCGGAGACCAGCTCTGGGGAGTGGAGATGACAGGCTCCCAGGTCCACAATCCTGGCTGGAGGTTTGTCCCAGCAGAGGCTCGGAAAGCACTTATTCTTCCCTGCCATCTTTGTTCTTCTGAGCAGTAGGCACAAGCGTGAACTCACATGTCTGTGATGTGATGATGTGAAGTGGGTTGGATGTAAGAAAAGCAATGTCTTCCTTTCCTTACACTCCCCTAGAAGATGAAACAGTGTAGGGCGTAGCCATGGACGCTATTTGGGGAGACTTTAGGGAGCGGTGGAGGCTGTGGTTAACCCAAGGAGGCCATTGTCACCCGGCTCCAGTTGATTGTTGCCATGTGGAACCTGGGATCAGTGTGGCTGGGGCCTTCTGGCTTTTCACAAGAAGCTAGAAACCTGAGTTTCTGAGGGGAACGTCCTGAACTTTAGATCTTGGCACCTAGATTGGTTATACTTCCGGGGCTTTAAGCGTGACACAGGCCAGCTCTGCGTGGGCCTGCTGGGACACATCTGCAGACCTCTGGTATTAGCAGGTGGCCTCAGATGCAAAGAATCTACCATCTCCCACTTTGCAGCTGTGTGACCTTGCCCAGATGATGTGGCTTTTCTCAGTTTCGTCACCTATGCAGTGAGGTTGAAGAGCGAACAGTTCCTGCTGTTCCTCGTTCACGTGATGAATGCTCCTGGGTGTTGGTGTCCCGCCCTCCCTGGCTTTTGCCATTTGGTTCCCAGCTTACTGGGAGCGCAGGGGAAGGCTTGGGTGTTTCAGACGCCCTCCGTTTTCCCCTCAAGGACTTGCAGGCTGCCTTCCGGGCAGGAGTGGACAGCTGCCCTCACTCTCAGCCAGTGGAGAGGCCTCTGCAGAGAGGGGCCTTCCTGCTCGGCCCACAGACCCTTGACCTTCCAGTTCCTGCAGATCCGGAGGAAGGCGAGGCGTGGTCCCTGAATCTCTTCTCTACCACATTCCCTTCACCCATGGGTTGCTAGGTCCAGTCCCTGCTGATGCTCGCGTGTTTCCCCTTTTTAGATATCAGCAGGAAAAAAAGATCTGCCTTTGATCCCAGCGCTCCCGATTGACACGAGTTTCCTGTTCTGCATTGTATCTTAGCAATTTCTCCTGAGGTTAGCCTTGTTTGCTGACAAAAGTCCATCTAGTCAAAGCTATGGCTTTTCCAGTGGTCATGTATGGATGTGAGAGTTGGACTGTGAAGAAAGCTGAGTACTGAAGAATTGATGCTTTTGAACTGTGGTGTTGGAGAAGACTCTTGAGAGCCCCTTGGACTGCAAGGAGATCCAACCAGTTCATCCTAAAGGAAATCAGTCCTGAATATTCATTGGAAGGACTGATGCTGAGCTGAAGGTCCAATACTTTGGCCACCTGATGCAAAGAGCCAACTCATTGGAAAAGACTCTGATGCTGGGAAAGCTTGAGGGCAGGAGAAGGGGATGACAGAGGATGAGATGGTTGGATGGCATCACCGACTCAGTGGACATGAGTTTGAGTAAGCTCCAGGAGTTGGTGATGGACAGGGAAGACTGACGTGCTGCAGTCCATGGAGTTGCAAAGAGTCAGACACGACTGAGCGACTGAACTGAACTGAACTAGCCTTGTTGAGGGATAGGCCTCTCTAGACATTCAGCCTGGGGGAACAAGGGAGGATATTGAGCACTTTTCCCTATTCCAGCTGACAAATGCAGGTGCCTGTGGGAGCTCCAGCATAGGCTTGGAGCTTGGCTGAAAACAGGTTGCCAGCTGACCCCACACAAGCTAGACCAGACTTGGAAGGGCCTGGGAATCTGCATTAGGCTTCCTCCAGGGGATCTGGATGCTCCTTAGCACCTGAAAGTCATATGTATACTGCCTCTCTGCATGATGAAGATGTGATAACATGGAAATTGTATCTCTCTCTCTCTCTCTCTAACACACACACACACACACACACACACACACTCTTAAGGATTAGACTTGTCTTCTTGGCTGTGTATGAAAATGGAGGCTTAAGTGTCCAATCTCCGTGATCAAGAGGAAGATACAACTTCCCAAACTTCACAGTCACTTTCGGGGTCCTTCCAAGCAGAAGAAACTTAAGTGAGATTCGTGATGTGCAGGAAATACTTCACACAGTGGCTACATATAGGAAGCACCGTGAGAGTGAGATTTGTGGTTATCATTATTAGTGTTAATGATTATTATTAACTCTTCTCATTAGGGCTTCCCCAGTGGCTCAGACGGTAAAGAATCTGCCTGTAATGCAGGAGGCCTGAGTTTGATCCCTGGGTCAGGAAGATTCCCCGGAAAGGGAATGGCAACCCACTCCAGTATTAGTTTCAGTGGAACAAAAACTCGGCTTTGCTCAATTTAGGGGAAAGATTTTGATTCTTTCCATTTGGTCCAGTTCAGTGGTTAATAAAGATACTTAGTTTGAAGCTGGTGCTGTTTTAGATGTTTGCAGGGGACAATTAACTCTCTTTTCCAGGGGATCTTCCCAACCCAGGGCTCGAACCTGAGTCTCCTGCATTGCAGGCAGATTCTTTACCATCTGAGCCACCAGAGGAGCCCAGTTAATTTGTAGCTCAGTAAATCACACCTGGCTGGGTCTGGGTCCCCAGGGGCAGTGACATCGGTCCCCACCCGCGACTCTGGGTCATTCCTGGGCCTGTCCCTGGGCAGGATGACACTTGGTGTCTCGGCCACTGGCGAGGTCTCTGCAGAGCCTGGCCACCCCCAGAGCAGGCGGAAGCAGGGGCCGGAGCAGAGGGGCTCACGAGCTGTCCTGTTTCTTGCAGATCAGGAGCGACACCTCACAGATCCTGGAAGAAAACATCCCCCTCCTTAAGGCCAAGGTGGTGGAAATGCGTGGCATCTACGCCAAAGTGGACCAGCTGGAGGTGAGTCCAGGGTAATTAACTTTGTGAGCCTGTGGACTTGTTCTGACTCTTCTGTCCTCTCTCCCAAGACGCTGATCTGGCGTTGATAGTGTTAGGCCTTAGACCCAGTGGAGGGAGTGGGCGGCCCAAAGGGGCCTACATGGTATTTTAAAAATATAACAAATATGAATTTATATAAAGAATCTCATTTTAAAGTTGGGGTGCTTTCTATAAAAACCTGAATTTCAAGCTGCTTTTTGTTATTTATTTATTTTTGGCCATGCCACACAGCTTGCGAGAGCTTAGTTCCCCGACCAGGGATTGAACCTGAGCCACGGTTGTGCAAGTGTGGAATCCTATCCACTGGACCGCAAGAGACATCCCTAAGTGGCTTTTGGAAATTTAGCATTTCTCAGAACTCTGGGCCCATATTTCTCTAAATAGTTTGATCTGTTTACTTTTTAAGGTGCAAATACGTAAAGTGTACATATCATAAGTGTACAATTCAGTGAATTTTAACATGTATCAACCCACTTGAGGGCTTCCCCGGGGGTTCAGCGGTAAAGAATCTGCCTGCAATGCAAGAGTCACAGGAGACGAAGGTTCGATCCCTGGGTTGCGAAGATCCCCTGGCAGAGGGCATGGCAACCCACTCCAGTATTCTTGCCTGGAGAATCCTATGGACAGAGGAGCCTGGCAGGCTACAGTCCATGGGGTCGCAAAGAGTCAGACACGCCTGAGTGCACACACGCGTGAACGCCCGAGTGAAGATGGCCCAGGTTGAGAAACTGAGCCTTCCCACCCCTGGGGCTGTTTCCTGGGAGAACTGGCACTCAGACAGGGCGCGGGCTCTGTTTCTCCGCAGTCCCCACCCCGCCCTGTTGCCTCCTGCTGACTTAGTTCACCTGCCTTTTGTCTGTGTGGGCTCCGGGCCAAGGTGCAGTGTATCTCATTTGCTCCTGGCTGCACTGCGAGTCCGCACCCTCCCCTTCCCAACTTCCCGACGAGGAGCATGAGTTCCTTGAGGTCAGCCCCTTCCCAGGGATCACACAGCTGATTCCATGAAGCGGGGGCTTCAGTTCACATCCACGAGAGCCCAGGCTTTTCCTCAAACTGGGGCCCTTGGGCCGGGCTCCTGGCTCCTTGCGCAGTGAAGACCGGGAGGCTGGAAGAGCCTTCAGCATAGCAGAGGCGGCCTGGACTGGACGTGAGCCCCCCAGTCTGCCCAGGAAGGGAGCCAGCGGTGGGCCCTGGAGTTCGCAGAGAATTAACATTCTTGTCAGCAGAGGAGGCAGGAATATAATTAAAACTTTGCCCTTGGAATAGCTGATTCATTTGAATTTTATTCCACACGTTTGAAGGAGGACAGAAAAATGCAAAGATGTGCAGCCCTGCTTCTTACCTCGCTTGGGCCGCCCCACCACTCAAGCCGCATTGTTTCCTTGGTACTCAGTTTCCTAACACTTATTGAGGGCCTATTTGATGCCGCTGCGGGCCCTCACAGCGAGAAGGACAGAGTTCAAGGCTGTGGCTCCCTCCAGGAGAAACAGCAACCGAGTGTAACCATTGTGTTTCCCGGGGCTCCTGTGACAAGTTATCACAAACGGAGTGGCTTAAAACAGCATGAACTAAGCATCTTACGGCTCCAGAGTTCAGCAGTCTGAACTGTGGCAGCAGGAGTCAGCAGGGCCGGCTCCCTCTGGGGGAGAATTCCCGTCCTGTCCTTTGCCAGCTTGCATCTCCCAGCTCGTGACACCTTCCTCCCATCTTCAGAGCCACAGTACAGCATCTTCCAGGCTCTGTCCTCCTCCAAGTCTCCTGCTTCTGTCTTATAAGGACCCCCGTGATTACCAGGACAGTCTCCCCAGCTCAGCATCTTTTTCACACCTGCTGAGTCCCTTTGGCCATGAAAGGTGATATGTTCACAGGCCCTGGGAGTGAGGCTGGGGACCTTTGGGTGGGGTCATTACTCTGCTGCCCACATTCACCAAGGGTGACTTCAGAGGCGTGTGCTCTGGAGGGCAGCAGGGAATGGGCAGTGGATGCTACAGGCCCTGGAGCGTGAGTGGAAGGAGCTGTGTTGGATGGGAGGGGCAGGTGGGCGGCACAGCCAGGGTAGACGCTCAGTGGTGGGAGGCTCCGGGCTCTGGGCAGCAAGGAGATAATGGACCAGAAGGATCTGGGATGGCCAGGTTACAGGGGCGAGGGGCGTGATGACCAGAGCGGGGCTGGAGATGCCAGCAGGGTCCAGGACTGTCCTGGGCAGCCAGGGATGAGAAGGCCAGCCCCAAGCCACTCCTCCTTGTCCTCCGGGAACAGTTGGAGCTGAGACGCACCCTCCCCTCCCATGAGGTGTGAATCTTCAGGCCGCCGCAGTCGCCACTCTGACCTAGAGTCTGCTACCATCGAGACCCAGTAGCATTTGCCTCCTGTCAGCCCCCTGGGCTGCTGTTTTCTGTAGAGCAGAGAGAGATTTCTCTGCAGCTGGGCCCTAGTTAAAAAGAAGAAAAACTGCGTTGGTCCAAGAGGGTCATGGATTTCAAGGCAAATGGGAGACTCTGTATTTCCTGCTGAGCTACCTGCGACATAAGATGTAGGACCTGATCAGAACCCAGTGTTGTCCTGAGGCAGATGGACTCCTCAGATCTGCCCCTTGGAGACTGTTTTTTGTTTGGGGTTGTTTTGCTTTTATTTTTTTGACTGCACCATGCGGAATCTTAGTGGCCTGGCGAGGGATCAGAGCTGTGCCCACTGCATTGGAGCACAGTCTTACCCACCGGGCCACCAGCGACATCCTGGATCTGCGCATGGGCTTCTCACTCCCCTCTCGCGGTCAGCTTCCTTCTCTAGGTGGGGTGTGTCATCGTGAGGGTGTGAGGCCGGCCCCTGGCATCCTGCAGGTGCTGGGGAGGACAGGCTGTCACTGCGGGGGTGCCTGCAGGCCGAGAGCCGGGATCCAGCGCCTGCTCATCACTCTGCCCAGCCCACTGGAGGCTCCGGGGAGCCCAGGAGCGCTCTGCTCCCATATCACTGTGACCCGCTGGGGGCCGGGAGGCTTGAGAACCGTGGGGGTGACCTCTCAGGCCCGAAAAAACTAAGTTACTGAGCAAGTGCTGTGAGCCAGGGCCTCTAAGTGCTTTAGATGAAAGAACTTGCTTACCCCTCACAGCAGAGAAGGTCCTGGTATTGGTCCTGTTTTATAGAGCGGTGAGGCACACAGAGGTGAAGGGATTAGCCCAGGGTCACACAGCCGGGGAGTGGTGGAGCTGGGATTACAGAAGTCCGTGCTCCTGACCCCTCCTCAGTGCTGGGTGCTGGCACCGTCTGGACCCGGGCCTGCCCTGAATCCGGGGGCCTTTGTCACAAGGATGCAGGCGCATCAGAACTCACACCTGTATTTTAAGACCACATCTCACCCCTCCCCTCCTCCTTCCCTTCCTTCCTTCCTTCCTTCCCTAGCTTCTCATAATAAAAGTGGTTCATTTTCACCATAGAGACAATTATGTGGAAGTCACCTCTGCTCCCAAAGGCGGTCACAGTCCCCAGCTGCCCCCATCTGTGCCCTCTCCTCCCCTCTCCACGTGGATGCCCGTCGGGGTCGTCCCGCTGCCCCCGTCAGCTTTCCTGGCCAGGTTTGGCCTCTCCCTGGCCGCGGCCTGGCCGGCCTGCCCTCCCTGGCAGGCGTTTTGGAGGCGGATCAGACCTCGTGAGCGCACATTCCTCCGCGTCCCTCACACTTCCCACCACAGCGGCATTAACGCAGGGAGCGTAAAATTGGAACCGGCTGCAGGGAGGGCCTGCAGGGCTTCCCTCTGTGCTTTATAGCCAGATGCGCCAGCCGGTGAGGCCAGGGGAAGCGGCCCGGCCCGGGGCCCCTCGTGTCCCCCTCCACCCAGCACACACACACACACACAGACACACACACACACACTTGATGTGCCTTATTCAGAGCCTTTCAGCTCTGCCCTTGCCAGAACCATAGGGCAGCAGCCGCACAACAGTGCTGCCATCCTGGGTTCATCCAATGTTTTTTTGCTGAGGATGTGGTCATTCATTTATTCACTGACTCTTGCATGTATGCCTTCATTCCTGGGTGTGCATTCATGCATAGATGCATTCATATGTGCATGCATTATTCATGTGTGTGCGCCTTCATTCACGTGTGCATTCATGTATACATTCATGCATGTATGCATTCGTTCATGTGTGCATGCATTATTCATGTGTGTGTGCCTTCATTCACGTGTGCATTCATGTATATATACATTCATGCATGTGTGCATTCGTTCATGTGTGCATGCATTATTCACGTGTGTGTGCCTTCATTCACGTGTGCATTCATATATATGTACATTCATGCATGTGTGCATTCGTTCATGTGTGCATGCATTATTCATGTGTGCATGCCTTCATCCACGTGTGCACGCCTTCATGCACACACGTGTTCTCCTGTGCGCACTCATCCTCTCACGCATGCATTTATTCCTGCCTCCGCCATCCGGCTGAGCAGGCCCTGGTTGCGGCCTTGTGAACAGCACTGACTCAGCACCTGCTCTTCCAGAACTCACATTCTGGAAGGAGATGGACCCTGAACCGGCAGACAGGAAGTTGAGAGGGCGAGGGGAGCTAAGAAGACGGGGCCTGGGCAGCTCTGCGGTGGGGCCATGTTAGCCTAGGCAGTCGGGGAAGGCCCCTCTGTGGAGGGCCAGCACACTCAGGGCCTGGGAGAAAAGCAGGGTTCACCCATGGAGAAGAGAGGTGCCCGGGCAGAGAGAGAGCTGCTGCTAAGGCCCCAAGGAGGGTGAGGCTGGGGTTTTCGAGGAACCAGAGGGAGGCCTGGGTGGGACACAGGGAGGGGGCAGAGCGGGTGCTGGGCCTTGCTGGGTGGGCGGGCCTGGGGCCTTCCATCTGCGGAAGTGGGGCTCTCCCGTGGGGCCTGGCGCTGAGAGGGTCTCCGGCCTCTTCCTGATGCAGGAAAACCTTCTGCATTTTCCTTTGGGAAAGGAGAGGCCCACAGAGGGGAGGCTTGTCCGAGATGGACCTGGAGTCGCCACCTCTGGCGGCCTTCCCGGGTGGACGAGCCGTGCACGCACATGTGACACGTGCTAACACATGCGCAGGTACACACAACACACACATGCACACAGACCCAGGCACAGATGCCGACGCACGTGCACCCAGCACAGACACAGCAGAAGTCGCAAACAAGGGGGCCTGCACAGCCTTTTTTTAAACGTTCCGGATTTATTGCTAACATTGTTAAAAACTGGACATTTTTCATGAAATCTGAATGCCCTGTTGTTTTTTTAAATGATGTTATCTGGCATTAATTGAGCTCTTAATATGCCCTGGGCACTAAACTGCTGAGCAGGGTTGATATCGTTATGATTCCTGCTTCAGATAGTAAAATTGGGGGGTAATAGAAATAAGGTAACCTGGCAAAAGGCATATGACCAGTGAGTGGTAGACCCCTGGGTTCTAATCCAGTGGGTCTGACCCCAGCCTTCTCTTTTCTCTTCTCAATACTGGAGGTTTTGCAGTAGAGCCCCAAGCCGAGTGACCCCCCGGGGCCAGGGACCTGGTATTCCAGCTCACCCAGCCTGTTCTCAGTCTGTTTCACTCGCTTGTCACCTGCCTTCCCCTTGGCGGTTTCTGAGTGTGAGACTCCCCAATACCCATCAAATATTAAACCGAGCAATTTCGGGGAATTCCCTGATGGCCCAGGGGTTAGGACTCCACGCTTCCACTGCTGGGGGCACAGGTTTGATCTCTGGTCGGGGAACCAAGAGCCTGCAAGTTGCGCAGCATGACCAAAAAGACAGAGCGATTTCTAAAAACTTCAGTTTTCATAAAGAAGGTCGTGCAGCCTGAGTACCCTCTCTGCTGCTGCCTAGCTGTGTGACTTTGGGCAGGTGGTCCGACCTCTCTGACCGTTGGTTTCTCCCCTCTGTAAAATAGTCTAAACAGAGGGTCACTAGAGGGAGAAGGAGAAAGGATACGAGTGGAGGCTCGGCAGGCCGGGGCCCCAAGAGGAGGCATCACTGTTACCGTCAGGGTTTCTGAAGGTGCTCCCAGCAAGGCACCAGCGAGCCTGAGGTCTCCCAGAGCCTGGCGCCGGTGGGGCAGGCGAGAGGGAGGCTGGAGGCAGTGGCTGCTGGCGGCCGAGGGAGGCAGCCGTGGCATCTCGTCTCTCCGCTCCCCCGACAGGCCTTTGTCAAGATGGTCAGACGGCACGTCTCCTTCCTGGAGGCCCACGTGCTCCAGGCCGAGCGGGACCACGGGGCCCTCTCGCAGACCCTGCGGAAGTGGCTGGGCTCCTCGGGGCTCCCCGCGCTCGGGAACGTGAGTATCCTCACCTCCCCGCCCCCTCCCAGACCCCGGAGCCGGGAAAGGGGCACCGGAAACGGGAGTTCAAAGGGCACGGCTGGCTTCTGCAGACAGGAAGCGGCGTCTGGCTGGCTGGTGGGGGGCTGGCCGGGCGGCTGGGGCGTCGTAGACTCTCTCTTGGGTGCCCCCGTGTGCCCTGAGCGGTGGTGCCGTGGCTGCCCGCCCCCTCATCCACAGTTTAGTAAATGCCTGCTGTTTGCCTAGCACCGGTCTGTCTGGAGTTCCCGCGCTGGTTAGAGACAGCTCCTGTCCCTTCCTTCCGCATCAGAGGCTCAGGGCCATTTCCAGAATTCAGGCGGGGTTCCCCGTCCCCGGGCACGAGTCAGGGCCATTTCCAGAATTCAGGCGGGGTTCCCCGTCCCCGGGCACGAGTCGGCCTCCAGCTGACAAGAAGGGCGGGGCGCAGGGGGAGGGGCAGCGAGCCCACGGCTGGCCAGGGCCTCTCCCTCCCACACTGCTACTTCCTTGGAATCTTCCCTGTGCAAAAGGGAGGGTCCTTGTGCCCCTTATACTCGTCGAAAAACTGCTATGTGCTGATTACCTGCTTGCCTGCAGGTGAGGGACTGCCCCAAAGCCAGTAACAGCTGGATCGTGGCATCAGAGTTCATGGTCTCAGAATTCTTACTGATCCTTTAGAGCCCAAGTTAATGTCACCTCCTCTGAGAAGCCCTCTAGGATTGCGCTCTCTTTAGACAAATGCATTCTCTTGTGCCTTCCAGTGACAGTGAAGTCAGGAGCGGCCTGCTTGGTCCTCCTCTCCCTCAAGTCATGGTGACTATTGCAGGGTGACCAGGAGCCCCCCAGTCACACGGTGCTCTGCCCACCGATGGCTCAGAAGCACCACCGAGGAGGGAGGACACAGGTCCTGGCTGCCTGCTGTCTGCGGCAGCAACCTCACAGTCGGGCCTGCCAGGCCCTTGGTCTAGGCAACCTCACAGTTGGGCCTGCCAGGCCCTTGGTCTAGGTAACCTCACAGTCGGGCCTGCCAGGCCCTTGGTCTCCGCACCGTGCAGTCTTTTTCTGTAACCCGCACGGCTGTCCCTTTGTGGTTGGCACCAGTGCCTTCCTTTAGTGGCAAGGCTTGGAGGGGAGAGTCAGGCATCTGAGGTCAGTGCTGGGGTTGGAACTCAGGCCCGCGGGGCTGTGGAATGGGGTCCCCCGCCCACTCCTGCTGCGGGATCCCATTAGGGCGCGGCCAGGCACGCTGGGACCTGCACCCTCTCATCTCTACCAGACTCGGGGCCCCCAGCCCTCCCTGTGGTGACTTGTTCCAGGAAGTGCGTCCCAGCCAGGGCTGGTGAGCCATTCAGCAACCCCGGCATGTTGGTCTTGGCCCTGGGAGGGCTTTGTGTGGTCCAGGGGATGCAGGTGAGTGTGCGCACATGCGCGTGCAAACCTGAGGGTTTCCGGGTGCACGTGCACCCGGGCTGCCAGCTGCAGGGACTCTTCTAGATAAGAGTCGTCACAGCTTGCCCTGGGGCCCAGACCCGCTGGCATCTCGCAGCCCATCCAGTGAGGGAGGGCTAGTCATCAGATGAGCAAACTGAGGCACCAAAGGGTCAAACCACTTGCCCGCCCGAACGTGGTGGAGCTGCGATCTGAACCTGCGGAACCGGCGCTCTGCAGTGCCTGGTCCTGCTGGGTCTCTCGGGGCCTGGTTCCGACCGCTGCAGCTGCAGTCTGGGGTGGGGTCCTTGAAGAGCCCCCACGTGGGTCCCCGTTTCTTCTGTCTGGAAGAACCCACCCAGCCAGGGTTCCACGCTGTGTCCAGTCAGTTCCCCTCCATCCCTGCCAAGGTGGACACCTCACTGACCACTGCCCTCACCCTCGAAGGCCACATGGGCCCGGATTCTGCCTTCCTGCCGCCACTCACCCTCCTTGACCCATGCAGTGAGGGGCTGGTGCAGGGCAGGGGCTCTTGACTGAGAGTCCTGCCCCCACTCCTTTGGAAGCCCACCCCCTCAAAGGAAACGGGCGGCTCATCGCTGCCCTCAGGCCCTCCTGGAGTTAGGGGGCATCAGCGAAGGGCCTCCCTCCGGGGGCCCAGGCAGGAGGCCCTCCGCCCTTCTCCCCTGGAGCTGGGCAAGGGCCTTTTGGGGGGGGGGTTGCCCCCCTCCCTGCTCAGCCATCTGTTGGAGCAGGAGATCCTGGGGAGGGCAAGGGGTGGGGAGAGGCTGGGTCTGCGGTGCTGTTAACTCTGCCAGCGCCACCTGCCCTCCTGGCCTCCTTTCTCCGTCTTTTCTCTCCCTCACTCTGCAGCTAAAGTGGGGAGGCCAGGGAGGGCACAAGGCACCAGGCCAGGGTCTCCCAACACAGCAGTGATGGGGCCAGAAAGCCCCCCTGCCCCCACTGCCCCTCCGCCCATGTGACTCGCTGCTGGCCGAGGCAGGGCCCAGCCCGGGGATGCCAGCTGAGTGTCCCTCCTCGCCACGCGCTCCCCCCGAAGGCTGGGCCTTTGGCCTCTGACTTGAACTGTTGGAGACGTGCGTGGTCAGTGCCCAGACTGGGGTGAGGCTGGCCTGGTGCCCTGGGCCCTCTGTGCCCAGACATAAGAATGTACACACTTCCAGGCTTCAGTTTTCATGCTAACGCACACATGAATATTTTCATGGTACAAAGGTTCGTGTTTCCATGCTGTGTGGCATGAAAGTTTCCTGTTATGCTTTTATGTTGATTCTTACAATGCTGCAAACCTGTAATTCAGAATCGCACCTCTCTTTGGCTATGGTATTTTTTAGCTGTGTGACCGTGGGTCAGTCTGTTAGCCTCTGCAGACCTCAGATAGCTTACCTGTTGGTTACCATGGACTTGATCATGAAACAGTCTGCCTGCTAGAGAACTGGTTTCGATTTGATGTGCGATGAAGAGGGCCTCCTCCACTAAAGCCGTGGGAAGAAAAAGAAGAAAGAGAGTCCAGAACTCTCAGACGGAGGGTTCCGAGCACCGGTGGGTCTGCCGTCAGCTGCGCCTTTAAATAATGGTTCAGGACAGACTGCCTGAGCCCTTCGTGGTGGTGGTGACAGAGAGCAAGCCGGGCAGTGCCAGCTGCTGTTCTCAGCCCCAAACCCCACAGGGGAGGCGCTATTTTTAATCCCAGCCAGGGAACTGAGGCACAGAGAGGGGTCACTTAGCCAGGGCCACACAGCTGAGCACCAGGATAGGAGTCTGCATCCTTAGCTCTGTCCCTCATTATCTTGGGAGAGAGCCATGACCTCTTACTTCAGGAAGCACATGTCTAGTAGGAGAATAGAGGCAGTGACCAAATCTCAGAAAATTCAGTAGCTGGACATTTCTAAAGAGGGCCTGGCTTGCTCTGAGGGATGACCTGTAAGGAAGGGCCACGTAAGGTGAGACCCGGACGGTGAGTGAGAGCAGGCTGAAGTCAAAAGCAGGGATGTTCCCAGCAGTGGGGGTGGCAGGCCGGGAGGCTCTGGGGTGGGACGAGCTTGGGTCCTGAGGAACTGCAGTGAGTCCCATGTAGGGAGCCGGGGAGGGTGTAGGAGACGAGGTGGGGGCAGCCTGGACAAAAGCAGGGGTCTCGGGCCACACCGGGGGCCCGAGCACTAGTCCAAGGGCGGCGGGAGCCTTGGGAGGGCTCGTAGCCAGGGAGTGACTTGGTAGATGTGCTCTGCTTTAGGGAGTTTCCAGGGCTCATTCTCTACCCTGAGCTCAGACTGGCATTTGGGGTCAGCGCTGTCTTGTTTAGACTTGACCACGGGAGCCGGGCCGGGCACAGGCATGCCCTCCAAGCTTCAGAGTTCAGCTGTTAGGGCTGCGTTTCCTTGGCCTGGAAACCCCACATGCTGTGCCTGGAGCTCCCTGAGACCCTTGCCTTGCTGGGCCTCGGGGCCTTTGTCCGATTGGGAGAGAAAACGGGGGCTCTCGGGGGGCACCCTGGTCTCCCGGCGTGTGTCTGGTCCCAGAGACCCTGCCTGAGGAGGCGGCCCCCCTGCCCACTCACACAGGGCCCCTCACATCTGGAGATCATTTCAGGCACATGTGGGAGTGAAAGTGAGAGGGGGCTGGAGGCGTGTGGCCTTGGAGGGGCGTGGAGAGCACGCCAGGGGTCGCCGTGCCCCCCCGGGGGCCAGGTCCCGGTGAAGGCCGAGTGCCCACCATGGTGTCCTGACCACGCCAGGCCCTCTGCTCGGCGCCTGCACCAGAGGCTCAGAACAGCCTCGCTCATTTGTTGTCAGCCACTGTTTGTTTTCCGCCAAACCAAAACATCTTGTTCACGAGGTGTCATTTTGATTAATTTCCCGATGGATAACAGTATACTGTTTTCCAAGGAAGGCTGTCTGGCTAAGCGCAAAACCACTTGGGGCCAAGTCCTGACACTGCGCAGAGCAGGCTGCCGGGGTGGGCTGTGGCCTGGGCTCGACTTGGGGCTGCCCGACTCACCTGTTCGCCCCGCACCTGCCCACGGGGCGATCTGGTAACACAAATGGGTGTGTTCCGCCAGGTGTGATACAGCAGGGAGTGGTGCGGACTGTGGCGAATTGCAGAGCCCGTGCCTTAATGATAGAGGTAGCGAATTTCAGAAGCAGCCTTTGCAGAAACGGGATCAAGGAGGGCCAGATTTTCCTATTTGGGGGAGCACGCCGGGCATGTGGAGTTTTATATGAATTTTCTATTGTCTAAAAGTCAGCAACTAATTTTTCTCACTGTTAAACATTTGAGGGGGGAAAAATGTGTTGTGCCGTGGGTCACACCCAGCACACTCCCCAGCTCTGGATTTGGGGCTGATGGCCGGTATCCCAGAGCCAACCCCCCTCTCCCCAGAGGCATTTGGGACCAGGGAGGAGGGGACAGCCCGTGGCATCTTCCTCCACTCTGCGCCAGCCCCAGCAGGGGCCTTCAGCTCTCTGCAGCAGCGTGATGAGTGACCAGCAGTTTTGTTGGGCGTCTACTCCGGTTCCGACTGTGGTTGTATTGAGTACTTGCGGGCTTCCCTG